ATAATTACTAAGTGTGAGTAATTCTTTCAATCTATTTCTAGTTCACAAATTCTCCTTTTACCAATATTCAATCAGCCTTATAACCCATTCATGGACAATATTTTCATTTTTACAAGTTTGGTTATTTTAAAATGTGAATTCTGTTTTACATTCTTTGGTTATTATCTTATGATTCAGATTTCATATTTAATTTCCTTAAGCATTTTTAAACATACATATAGTACATTCTACTTTTGATACTTACAAAATCTGAAGCACTTAAGAGTGGTAGTTCTGTAGCTTACTGTTATCTTAGTGACTTATTTCCTCAGTTGTTTATAAATGTGTATTTGCACTCATATTTGGCAGGGAATCTTATGAAACCAGGATTTATGATGTGTTCCGCTACAGAGAATTTGCCATACCCCTTTGATCCCTTTAAGTTAATTTTTTGGCTTAGAGTTATCTCGACCCTGCTAATAGTTTAAATCTAAACCCCAGATTGTCAGAGTAATTTATTTTGTTCCACCTACAGACCAGGCCCAGTGAGATTAGTTTGTTGTTTTTCTTTTCTGAAAAGCAGGTTTGAGAAGATCTAGCCATTTAGTTATGCTACTAAGGATCCTGGATCCTGGCTTTGCGTAGAGGTCTGAATTCTATCACCATCTTCTTCTTTGACCTTGTATCCTGTCCCTGCTCAGGGCAGCTAGGATGCAAGCCTCTGGACCCCTGAGATCAGTAAATACTCCCCACGGCAGCAACAACTTGGGCATTGACTTTCCACAAAAGCTTTTAGCTCCCCCTTCATTTTTTGACCCCCAGGATCCCCCTTCTATTGTTTCGAGCTTAGCTATAATTACAAAAAAGATGTTTGGTGTCTCTTATCTAGCATTTCCATGTTTGGCACAAGAAGATTTTCGGTTGATCTATACTGCCATACTGCTGGAAATGAAAGTCCAGGCTGTTTCTTTAAACTGGCAACACCATTAATTACAAGCAAAACATAAACCTTCAGAATAGTAGTTATAACATACAACCCTGAAGATATGACAATTAAGGTAACTTATTTTTATTACTAAAATGCATAGTGCTAGAAAATCATTTATACTTGTAGCATTTAGTAGTATTTTCAAAACATTTTCAGAGGAACAATGCTTTCATTTCAAATTAATTTAGAAACTTACTACCTCTGATTGGTGATGGATTATTTCCAAGAAAATGAAGTTTTGTTGTTCTCAAAGGAAATGGCTTTCCAACATCAAACTTTCTGACTAACTTTGATACAGTATCCCAGAGATGTTCATAATCCTCCATAATGACTTTTCCCAAATCCAAATGCAGCCCTACGTAACAATTAAAAACACTATTAAAAGTCATCCACACATATACAGAAGCACACGTTTTTATTAAATACACACGTTTTCTGAAATACTTGTCAAATAGTGAAATTTTCAGTGAGTTCCATACTGGACCTAAATGAAAATGGTCATTTAGTGTTGACTATGAGATGGCAGATTCTAAAGTTTATCTTGTTTTTTCTATTTGATAACTAAATTAAAATTATAACTATCTTAACTGATAATAAAAGATGGTGAATATTTATTCTTTAAGGTAATAAAAATATTATGCCATACACAACTTTACAATCAATAAAACTGAATAAAAACTATGATTTTTCAGAGAAGAGAAAACTTGTAGAGGATTGTTAAATTTATATGTCACCAATTCATTCCAATGTTTACAATATGAAGGAACCAAATCCTAGAGGTCAAAGGAGGTTTAATAATGCTCAATTATAGTTCTCTCAAAATGTGTTTTATTTTAATTTGGCTCTTAAGAAACATCAGAAAATGTTTTCTAAGAAAAAATTTCAGAGAAAGGAAAACAAATTACATATAACAAATATGCAAATCAGCTTTATCTTCTGGAAAATATTTATGATTTACTAAACATATTATAGTAATGGTATAATTACATTAATTAGAATAATTTTATGAAGAAATATGCATATGATTAACTGGAAAATTCAACTGTTAAAAATTACCTGGAAATGCCAAACACATTTTTTCCAAAAACTACTTTTGAAGTAATATTAAATGAAAAAATATTTTAGAATACAAAATTCATTCTGATTGTGAGTAAATAGAAGTTATATACATATGTAAACAAAGATTGGAAGAAAAGAAAATTCTTGCTATGTTATATGTTGGAAGTACAGAAAAATTATTCTGAAGTTTTAAATCTTTTATAATGTTTATCTCTACATGAATATATAATTATAATATAGTAAGATGGTACCTTGTACAGTTTCGTTTTCATAGTAAAAAGCAATATTCTTCAGTAAAGGCTCATCACTTAAGTCAGGCAGGTGAGTTAAATTCATATTCCAAAATTCAAAAATGTTTATATTACTTAGGATGAAATATTCACACCACCTTTTCTGAAAATTGAAAATAAAACCAAGTTATTGGCAATTTTTATACTAGAAATAAACAATAGAATGACTTTATAAGTTTCCATAGTCCAACTGAAAGGCAGTGGACAAGGCTGTTTCAATTCTTATTAATGTAAGCCCATTCAGGCTGGGTAATGATGACTGCTTCATATTCACACCACCTTTTCTGAAAATTGAAAATAAAACCAAGTTATTGGCAATTTTTATACTAGAAGTAAACAATAGAATGACTTTATAAGTTTCCATAGTCCAACTGAAAGGCAGTGGACAAGGCTGTTTCAATTCTTATTAGTGTAAGCCCATTCAGGCTGGGTAATGATGACTGCTTCATATACCTTAGAAGATTAAAGCATAAAATAAAACCAACATTGACCAAAACTTGAATTCAGTATAGTTCCTTCTCCTGAATCAGGAAAGTCTGTATTTAATTCAATACAAGTTTGTTCTCATGCTTTGATCCACAGGTAGAGTCCCAAGGCTACAGAAATATTTCTGTTTCAAATGCACCTCTGTTCTTTACTTAGGTTTTAATGTTTTCCAATTGAACTTTCAGGCCAAAAAAAATATTTAAAAGAAAAAGGCACTTTTGATTGTTCAGTGATCTAGAAGATACCAAAGCCTTCAGATTCAAAGATTCTCATCCACCTACGCTGGTATGAACCTACCAGGTTTATGAGAGTCAGGCTGTGCGGCTTTGTTCCCACCTAACACAGGCAAGTCAAGCTGTCTTCACTGACTACACTTCAGGGTAGACACGGGCAAGCAGCATCAGTGAAGTGAGAACCTAGTCAAGCTTTCAGTCAATGACAAGCTTCCAGTGGCCGGAGGAGTTAAGTTAAAAGAGAGAGACTGAGGCTTCTCTGCCCCACATTCCCTTAATAACAAAACACAAGTGCGTTCCAAATGTGAACAATTTATCTGGTTTGATATGGAACTTTAACCCAGTGTTGTCCAGTAGAAATGTAATATGGGCAAGCTGCATGTTATTTTAAATTTTCTAGAAGTCACATTAAAAATAAAAGCTTAAATTACTTTTTATAATTTATTTCATTTAATACATATCCAGAATATTACCATTTAAGCATGAAACCAGTGTAAAAATATTAACAAGATAGTTTGCATATTTTTCATGCTAAGTGTGGAATCTGGTATTTCTTTTAAATGAACAGACCATTTCAGTCCAGACTACCTACATTTCTATATCCATTTAGGGCAATTGGCCATTGCTCTTAACATCCCAGCTCTAACCAGACAAATTAGGGAGGCAACCCAAGGTTCATGACAAAGTTATTAATATCAAAGAAGCAAGAACATCCCAACCACCACATACGAAACACTGTAGAGAACTCCGAAGAGCCATAGAACCGTGGTTCTAAAACATCAGCATAAGCCTCACCTAGAAAGGTTGTTGAATAAAACACAGATTGCTGGGCATCAGCCCTAGACTTTCTGGTTCAGTGGGTCTGATGTGAGGCCTAAGAATTGGCATTTTTAAGAAGTTTCCGGGTACTGCTGATACCATTGGTCAGGAAACTACACTTTGAGAACCACCGCTGTATAGGTTTTTTTCCCCTGATCCCATTCCCGTAATACCGCTGACTTACTAGCTACACGTGAAAGCCATGCAGTAGCAGTTCCTCATTTTATTTACTGCGTACAAGAAGTGCCTCTAGTGTGGTATCTACGTGTCAATATTCAGAATAAACCTAATGGGACTATTTTCTTCTATGATCTGCTTAGTTGCTTTCTTCAGAGACCTCAAAAAATTTCCTTTATCATGAAAATTTCAGAGGCTACCTGAAATTACACTTCAACCTATCAAGTGCTACCAAAAATGAAGCATGGAGTTTGGGAAAGGCAACAGGGTGGTTGACTGTGGGATAATCAGCTGTCACACTGTAGGGTACATACGTGGAAGCTGAACAGAGCAGAAATCAGATATCAACTTGGTCATTTACTAGCTGTGCCAACAGACCACATAGTCTTTCTGAGTCTGAGATTTTCATTTGTAAAAGAGGACATAAGAGGACTGTTGATGTGTTTAAATGAAATAATAGAGGTAGAGTAAACACATAAAACAAGTGCAGAATAAATAGTAGCTACCCTTATTATTTCCAGCAATCCATGCCATCCTAATTAAAGATTGATGTTTTCTACAAACCAAAACCACAACGTCATCTTAGAATATTCTAAAATTTACAAAGACTTTTGTAATGTCCTTTTCGACTAATTCTTCACTGTGTGTAAAAAAAATGTAGAAAAGTTTATGTAGAAAATTCTTCATAAACAACAATTGTACATAGAGAACATACATTTCAATCTGTAAATCAATACCATAAATATTACATTCATACCATTCAGTGGTTGAGCACACACAAGTCAACCTATATAAAGTTGACAAAAGAAACAAATATTTCTGAGAAATAAATTCACATGTCATAGCACAATATTGATGCAGTACTGTATTATTTCAATATCTGTCATGTATTATCAACAGGTTTAATGTATTAACCTGAAATGACATATGTTAAAATATCTAAAGTAAATTGAATAGGAGCTAGAAATGGAGTTTTCCTATCCTTTTTTAATTAACATAGTCTGCCACCTCCTGTCAGACTATCAAAACACCTAGAGGAAATTTCCCCAAAGGGATTGGCAATACAGGAATGTATTTTCTCACCCAAGCATCAACAGAATCTACACAGGACTGTGTTTACCACATCTAAAATTACTGCATCACAAAACCTTTTAAAACTTCTGTTAGAACAGTTGGGTGTTTATAGATACAAACTCAGATATGCAAGAAATGTACATACCTGAACTTTATGATAATATAGTAAATATAATCTAAGCACTACCAGGTAAAATAGGTCCAATGCATTTACTTATTAGTCCCACTCAGATCTATTCCTTTTATGAGTCTCCTCCACCAATCCCATGCCAGACTTTGACAGGGGCATTTATACAAGTGCCATCCTTATTTCAGCAAGAAAGGGGTACCCACTGATCAGTCTGGTGGTCTCCAGTTACACATCACTCTCCAGTATTCTACACAGGCACATACCAGATCCCTTGAATGGAGAATGAATGGATAGTCAATGGCCACTGAATGGCTTCCTGTTGGCTCCCTGGAGCCAGCATTCTACTAAAATACAGCCCTCCCATTCAGAACAGACTGCCCATGTCATTTCCTTTCTATTCTGTCAACGGGCTTTCGAGAACTCTTTGAAGACTAACAGGTCCCCTCTCCCCTCTCAACCAAGCAGCATGACTCACTTAGAGCCCACACGAACTTCCAGATGGCCTGCCACTGGAAGCACAGGAGACTGTCTTCCATAACTTCATGCCTAGACACCACACTGCCTTTTCTACACAGTTCTCTGGCACATGGAACCACAGGTCTCCTAGGTGAAGCTGTCTGTCTCCCAATCTACAACCTGAGGACCGCAGCACAGCTTCTTATGCTCAGACTCCTGAAACTTCAGGGGGAACTCTGTCATGCCCTTCCCACCCTACTTATGGCACCCCTTCACTTGTTCTCCAACTCTCTCCCTCTCATCTCATGGACATCTCATGGGGGTTGAGAGAAGAGAGGTAATGTAGTAGGGGCAGAAGGAGGTAGTTGGCTGCATACCTTTTTCAATAATATTTTTATACATGGATCAGTAATTATTATTTTAGAAGCCAGGAATTTGGCATTTGTTTTTCCAATTGGTAGAGTGATGGCGTATGCCAATTCAGCTGGAGGAGGGGGCTGCGAGAAGGGAGGTGGTACAGAAAAGAGTATATCACAGGAGTCCTTCAACTGATAACATTCAGGGAGTTCATTAACTTAGGTGTGAAAATTACACTTTCATTTTTGTTTTTGCTTACTAGCGACAAAAATTATATTTTCCTCAATTATGAACCCAGACAATACCACCATCCTGTGTAGTAGCTGGGATTTGACATCAGTAGAAATCACAGATATTTTTCCATTACAAGTGTTACAAATATCTAGAGATACGTATTTATACTTATCTACATTGAAAGTCTGGTAGTTATTCGATTATCTAATGCAGTAACAAAGAAACAAAGTAGATCATAAATATGTTTTAATTTTTTGATAACCATATTTCAACTCATTCCTTCCAAACTCTTCTTCTTCCCTGTTCTATAAAAGCTTGTCGTCCACCTGTCTGTACTACTCACAATCCTCCGCAGCATGCTCATTTCCCATGTTTCTTGCTCACTTAATGATGATGACTTCCAAACCTGGCTCACATTTGTCCCTCCGCCTCAGTCATATCAGCATCACAGATAGCTTCAACCTCCAAACAGACAATTATTTCACATTTCTTGAATTTCTTTTGTCCAGTGACCCCCACCACTCTATCCCAGTTTTGTGTTCTCACAGACACACCCTAGATCTTAGTCTTCTAATTACAATCAACAGTGAGCCCTGTGCCATTAAACTCAGTGTCTACTCTCCAGTCCTCTACTTCCTATAATTCTTGACAGTATTGGGTACTATTAACCCACCTTTGAACTGCCCAGTTGTATTGGCCTTCAGAACAATTCACTCTCTTGGATTCCCTTTCCATCCATCTGGAATTCATTCTCTGTGTCTTTGGCCAGTGTCTGAACCTATACTTAATTGCTTAATATTGGAATATCTCATGTCTCTCTGTCCTAAGCCCCCTTATTATACCTCTCTCCCAAAATTATTTCATCTATTACCATAGCATCAATTAATATCCATTGGCTAATAAGTCCAAAATTTTTATCTCCAGCCCATTCCAATCTCCTAAATCCAAATCAGTATTTCAAATTACTAGATATTAATAGATATATCCATATGGACATTTCATTGGCACTTCAAACTCAATATTTCCAATGAACTTATGCTGTTCCTCCACAAAAGTGCCCGCCATACACTGGCAGCATCCCCACAAAAGCTCAAGCCAGAGATTTAGGAATCATCTGCCCCTCCCTTTCCCTGGTGCTTCACATTCAATAACTACACCTGTCGATTCTATCCCTTAAATAACTATTGAAAACTGCTCACTGCTATTCATCCCTACTTACCACTTCCTTAGTTTCTAACACCATCAACACTTATGTGACTAAGGTAATAGTCACCTAATTTCCCCAAATCCACTGTTTTGCCTTTACGGTGCATGCTGTGCATTGCAAGCCAGAGAAAGTTTTAAAAATAAGAGCGCCATGCATCTGCTTGAAACCATTCAATTGGTTCTAATTGTGCTTACTTCAAGTTATATCTCCATTCTTTTTTTTTTTTTTTTTTGAACCTATTAGGGGATCGCAACCCTCGGCACAGTGTGGTCTGCACCATGCTCAACCAGTGAGCACACCGGCCATCCCTATATAGGATCTGAACCTGCGGTCTCGGCACTACCCAGCGCCACACTCTCCTGAGTGGGCCACAGGGCCTGCCCTTTACCTCCATTCTTTTAATAGGACATGTAGTGTCTTATATGATTTGTCTCTTACCCACCTCTGCAGCTTCATCACTCCCCCATATTCTTTCTATTTCCATTACACTAGATGTATTTCAGTTCCTTGGTCATATTAGATTGGATGGATATAATGCTGTTTATTATTACTACCAAACACACTTGTTGAAACCTTGATTTAGGACATTAAAACTTTAAAGTTCCCAAAGGGCTAACATTGTTCTCATATACATCTATTTTGAAGGTTATTGTGTTTTTTATCTATCAAACAATTGAAAAAAATAATAAACTAATAAAGAGTATATTTACCATTTTTAATGAAGTCTGAATGTTCTCAATCCAGTGAGAAGTGATGACTCTAGTACACGCTCTTTGAGAAAGAGGTAGGTGGAGTAGAAAAACCACACTGAGACAATGCAGTTTACATAAGTCTTCCATCTCCTGCAGGGTTAAGCAATTACTTCCCGTCTGAATAAAATAAAGAAGGTAAACCAGAGAATAGCAGGCTGTGACATTGCATAATAAACATGCAGCACCATAAAAGCTAGCAGCATGCTTTACTGTGCAGGAATTGTGTGTTATTACATTCTTCAGTCTATATGTTTTAGACAGTCCTCTTCTTCATACATAAACTTGACTGCACTTATACAGATGTGATATAAAGGGAAGGGAAAGCTCCCAACTTAATAGTAGTTAACATAAAACATTTCAGGATTTTCAGTTAAGCCAAACTTTACATAAGCTGATCATGCAACTAATGAAGTCATGATCCCCCAGGGTTCTGGACTGATGGAGCCACACACTCAATGCTCTATCCTGTCTAAGTCATCATATTTTAAAAGTAATATTGAAAATTGCCAGGCTGAGCACAGCAGATGGGAACATATATGCAAAATGTGCCCAGTGAGAACACGGGTGAAGAAGTGGACATATTTGACATGATGGGACAAGGATGTCATAGCTGTCCTCAAATGTTGGCAGTCATCCGTGAAGCAAGAGTAAGACTTGATCAGGGAGCCTCCAGAGGGCCACAGAGGGTCTAACAATCGATTAGAAGTTCCAGAGCGAAAGATTGGACTCAGTGTCGTTTTTGTGAGAATGATTTAAAATAAAATGCCTAATCATGTAGAAATGTTTCACTGAAAGTATATTCAAGGAAATATTGGAAAATAAAAATACGTTTTTTGGTAAAAGTTAATAGATAGAATATGATGGGGCCTAAACATTTCTGAAATTGTGGATGAAAGAGACAAAACTTCACTTTTCTTTAATAGGAATCTCTAGCCAAGAATCCCCCAGTAATCAGATTGTATACAGAATAGTCCATGTAAACATGTATTTCTGAGCATGTATGTGTGTGTGCATGAATGAGTGTGAGCACATATATGTAGAGATGACTGCTCAGCTGGGGAGTGTATTAGTCTGTTTCTTTTGCTTATAACAAAATACACGGAACTGGGTGATTTATAAAGAAAAATGAAATTAATTGCTTACAGTTTCTGAGGCTGGGAAGTCCAAAGCCCATCTGGTGGTGGCAACAGTGACCCAGGGGTCACACATTGCAAGATGGTGGAAGCAGAGACAACAGAGAGAGAGAAACAGACTCTCCTCTTCCTTTAAAGCCCTCAGAACCATGCTCCTGACCACCATTTTTAATTCATTCACTACAATCCAATCATCTCTTCAAGGCCCCACCTTTCAATTACCTTAATAGGCCTTCCCACCCCCTCAACAGTCACAGTGGGGGCCAAGTTTCCAATACATAAAACTTGGGGGACACAATTCAAGCTTCAGTGAGTTTGGGGGGGACATAATTCAATCCACTGCAGACAGACAATCCAGACTGGCCAACAGATTCTTGATGAACCCTGTCAGTCATAAAGAAGTTTAAGAACTTTGGCATCTCTCCACCAAGACACTACAGTAGAAATGTTCTTTTAAAAGACAGTTTGATATTGTGGCATTGCACAAGATATACCTGAGTACAATCCCCACTCCGTTTAATACCTTTGCTTTGAGGAATGTTACCTACCTGAACTATTTGAACCTCTGTGTTCCCATATGTGAAATAGGATTAATAGCATCTTATTTGAAATGCTGTTGTGAGAATTTAATGGCAAAATGAATACAAAGGGCCCAGAACATTGTAGTATAGTAGGCACCCACCGAGTGCTAATATCCTGTTTTGTTGACCCTCCCTTTGTATGATTTAGACTAAATATGTACCAAGTGAAACATCTTTCTATGCAGAAAGTACTAAATCATATAATGGCACAATAGATATTTCCTTATAAACATAAATCTAGTTTTTTCCCTATTTTTGTATACAAATAATTAATTTTTATACAAACAAATAAAGGAAAAATAAAAAGTACCAAATGAAGGAAATGGTAGATGAAAATCAATAAAATTTCATAAGTGGAGGGCAATGGTGTTTCCCAGTAAAGTCATAACAATCGCACCTGCTTGACGTTACTTTTCTGGTTAGAGGTGGTCTTCTTTCTGTTTTCTAAAAAGTTATGGTATATTCTTAAAGACAATGAGCATGAAGTAACACAAAGGACACGCCGAATGTCAGATCCTTCTGGCCAGAGTTGCTTCAGCAGCGATATAGTCTCATATGCCTATCCCAGAAAGAAATTATAGCATGGCATGATATTTAGAATAATATGTTTATTCGTAAGTGATCTTACTAGAAGAAATTATACAGAAAAGATACGTAGCTATGACAACATAGAACTGTAATTATTTCTGTTAAAATATTATAAGCAAAATTTTAAATGGGAAAATAATTTCAAGAAATATTTCAATGAAATCACTAAAAACATAAACATGTAAAGAACTCCTAAAAATCAATAAGAAAATGCCTAAGCCTTTAATAATACTACACTCCAATAAAGAAATACAAATATGAATAAAATAGAAAAAATGTTCAGCCTCTTCAGTGATAACAAAAAACATCAATTAGCGTATTTATACTTTCAAGTTAGCAAAGTACTTTTTAATGATAATAGCACTGGAAATTACAGTGTGATGTGTCATTTCTCTTATACTTTGCTAATGAGAGTGTAAATAGATAAGGACTTAATGCAAAGCCATTTGGCAATACATATGATTACCATTAAGTATGCTGATATGTTTCAACTGGCTATTTCAAGTTCCGGGGATTTAGCCTAAGTAAATATCCAAAATGTGCGCCAAGATTTATGCACCAAAATATTCATCACAGAGTTATTTTTAAAAGATATGTTTCAACTGGCTATTTCAAGTTCCGGGGATTTAGCCTAAGTAAATATCCAAAATGTGTGCCAAGATTTATGCACCAAAATATTCATCACAGAGTTATTTTTAAAAGCCGATTTTCAAACTATCACTTAGCATTAGGAAAATGTTATGTATCCAGTAAAAGTAAAATTAGTGAATAATTTTTAATTAAATCTAAGAATGTTTATATAATGATATCAATTTAGAAAGTGAATTAAAAAGGTAAATATAACACTGTCAATTCAGTTAAAATATATAGAACACCTCTAAAAGAATATATGCAAAAAGTAGGTGTTTCTACCTCTAGGTGGTGGTGCTATAAGTAATCTTGATACATGGAGTATGAAAGGTATTCAGGGGAATAATAAGACCATGATACACTGAAATCTAGATATTATACTATTAATGAACTTTGAGTCACCCTATGTTTCAATGTGAGGCACTGATTGCTCACAGGACATTTTTATATTTTTCAAATTCTGTCATGTATTTTCATTAAATACATACATAAATATATAGTTTTGTGGGACACTCATGTAGTTAAAATCAAGAGTCTGTAGTAATCAACTTCCTTAAATAATAAGTATTTTTAGAAGTATAAATATTCTGTGCAGAATCACACCCGTGGCATGACTTAAGAAGAAAGAACAGTCATACTGCAAAATAACAGTGTGTGAGGGGAAAAAATATTCCAGCTCTGGAATTTCTCATGCTCCTTCACCACACTTGCCCCAATTCAAGATTCTGTAGCTACCAAAGAGAGATCAACTGCAGGAAACATAAAGGAGGAGCATTAGTGAAAAGCGAAATGAAACAACCACTAAAAATATTAAATCTAGGGCTGGCCCGTGGTTTACTTGGGAGAGTATGGTGCTGATGACACCAAGTCAAGGGTTAAGATCCCCTTACCGGTCATCGTTTAAAAAAATAAAAAATAAAAATATTAAATCTACCCTAAATCTGAAAATACTAAAAAAGGTAACCAGGTGGAATAGAGCACAGAATACACAAAAGGAATTACAAACATGCACTGTTTAAAGCATCATATGGCGTATAAGGGGATCAAACAAGTGATTTGAAGAGACAGATGCCTTATAAAAGGGCCAGACACATGATTTAAAGAGACAGACTCAATTTATGGGGACAAATATGACTTAAAAGTATAGCAACTATCAGCCAAGAGAAAGAAATAAATGGCATAGTAATAGGAAAGGGAGAAGTGAAATTGTCTCCATCTGCTGATTGACATGATCAGCATATCATATGTACAGAAAACCCTGAAGATTCAACCAAAACCTGTTAAAACTGATAAACAAATTCAGTAAAGTTCCATGGTGCATAATTAACATACAAAAATCAGGAGCATTTCTATAATGAACTATCTGAAAAGGAAATTAAGAAAATAACCCCATTTACCATAGCAACAAAAAAATTAAATACTTATGTTTAAATTTAATTAAGGATGTAAAAGACCTGTACACTGAAAACTATGGGACACTGATCAAAGAAACTGAAGAAAACACAAATAATTGGAAAGATATCCCACATTTATAAATTAAGAGAATTAATACTGCAAAAATGTCCATACTACCCAAAGTTATCTACAGACTTAGTGCAATCTCTATCAAAATTTCAATGTTGTTTTTCACAGAAATGGAAAAAAAAACCCCTAGATTTGTATGGAAACACAGAAGACCCTGAATAGCCAGAACAATCTTGAGCAATAACAAAACTGGAGGCATCATACTCCCTGATTTCAGAATACATTCCGAAAGTGATTGTAATCAAAACAGCATGGTACTGGCATAAAAACAGAGACACTGACCAATGGAACAAGATAGAAAACCCATAAATAAACCCATTTACCGTTGACTGATTTTTTGACAAAAATGCCAGGAACACACAATGGGGAAAGGACAGTTTCTTCATTCAATGATGGTGGGAATGCTAGGTGTCCACATGCAGAAGAATGAAATTAGATCATATACAAAAGTCAACTCAAAATGGGTTAAAGCTTTAATTTAATACCTGAAATTGCAGAACTACTAGGAGACGACATAGAAGAAAAGCTCCACAACATTGGTCTGAGCAATGATTTTTTGAATACGACCCCAAAAGCTCAGGCAACTAAAGCAAAAGTAGACAAATAGGACAGCATAAGACTGAAAAGCTTCCACACAGCAAAGGAAACAATTAACAATTGAAGAGACAATCAACGAAATGGAAAAAAATATTGACAAACCATATAGCTGACAAGAGATTAACATTCCAAAATATATAAAGAATTCAAACAACTCGATAGCAACAAAACAAATAATGCGATTAAAAAATGGGCAAAGTATCTGAATAGACATGACCCAAAAGGAGACATACAAATGGGCAACAGGTACACGAAAAAATGGTCAGCATCACCAATCTTTAGGGAAACGCAAATCAAAACCACAAGTGAGATATCATCCCAAACCTGTTAGAAGGGCTTTTATCAAAAAGACAAAAGATAAGTGTTGAAAAGGATGCCAAGAAAAGGAAACTCTTATTTACACATTGTTGGTGAGAATGTAAATTAGTACACCTATTATGGAAAACTGTATGGAGGCTCCTCAAGAAACTAAAATAGAACTACCATATGATCAGACAATCCCACTTGTGGGTATGTATGCAAGGGAACTGAAATCAGTGTGTTGAAGAGCTATCTGCACTCCAATGTTCGTTGGAGCATTACTCATGACAGTTAAAATATGGAAGATATGGGTGGGAGGGACCCATTGATCAGACAATCCCACTTGTGGGTATGTATGCAAGGGAACTGAAATCAGTGTGTTGAAGAGATATCTGCACTCCAATGTTCGTTGGAGCATTACTCATGACAGTTAAAATATGGAAGATATGGGTGGGAGGGACCCATTATAAAATACAAACACTAACCAATGAACTTATAAACACAACCAATAAACACACTGAAGGAGGTGGGCAAGAAAGAACTAACCTGAATAACTTTGGAAAACAATATATTGACATCTTCTATGGCTACAAATAAAAAGAACTGCATGTAAATTCTGTAATCTATTAAGTAAATATGTTTCACACAGGGTACAGTTAACAATTTTAAAACTACTCTATGTGTATATTAGAATTAAACAAATAAGGAAATATATTGTAGGTGACGAAAGCTGAATTTCTCACAATTGGAGAAAGAAATTACAAATGAAGAAAGGGGAGGCACAAAATGAATCATGTGGAGTTGAATTAGAATAAAAGTTATATATGTACATATATTTCCTTGTTCTGTCTTCTGAACATTCCTAGTAGCAATAACATCCCAATAGCAATGAACCCACTTAGTTTTCACATCTGGACTTCTAAATGCTATTTTCCAATAAAAGCAACCAAAACACCTTGAAAAAGTAGTTAATGTCAGGGTTGGGGCTGGGAAAATGAAAGAGGAGACTAGAACATCTTGTAGATTTCAAAAAGTAATAAAGTACTCAAAAGATGGAGACATAAAAGAACACAAGTGCCAACCTAAAGGATCTTCTAATGTTCAAACCTGGCACAATTTTGATGAGCAGCAAAATAATAATAATATTGGACTTTATAATATAAAATAAATATCCATTAATCCTTACTGATATATAAGTAAATAAACAAATAAATGGCAGAACTAGGACAGATCTCCCTTACAACAGAATTCCACTAATAAGTGTAGAAGGAAAGAATGAAATAGAAAATCACCATTAGGCCAAAACATCAGTAATAACTGTCGCGGACAAAATCCACTGATGGAAGCTAAAATTAATCAGCAAAAGTTTGAAAAGAAGCACTATTTGCATAGCCACAAAGTATCTCCCTAAAGATACGTATTAACTACAAAACTGTCAGGCATCAGCTTAACCAGTGTTAAGATATATCTACATCATGAACCTTTTGATACCATACACTGAAGACACAGCATCGTTACATGACATTCTTGCCAAAAATGCATAATTTCATTCCAATCATTAGAAAATATCTTTAAAAATGCCAAGGTCATGAAAGACAAAGAAAGACTGAGAAACTATTTCAGACTGGAGGAAACTAGAGAGACATAACAACTAAATGGAGGTAGTACTCTAGATTGAATCATGGAACAGAACAAGACTTGGGTGGAAAAATAAGTGAAATTCAATAAGGTCTGAAGCTTTGTTAATAGTATTGTGCCAATGTTAATTTCCTGTTTTTCATCATTGCACCATGGTTACTTAAAATGTTAACATTAGGAGAAGCTAGGTGAGAAGCATAAGAGTACGGAAAGTGTACTACTTTTCCAACTTTTCTATAGTTAAGAAATTAGTTCAAGTAAAAAGTCTTTGGTAAACAGAGCTGCAATGAACATGGGAGTGCAGGTATCCCTTCAACATGATGATTTCCATTCCTCTGGGTGTATACCCAGAAGCTGGATTGCTGGATCATATGGAAGATCTATCGGTAGTTGTCTGAGAAAACTCCATACTGTTTTCCATAGTGGTTGTGCAAATTTACAGTCTCACCAACAGTGTAGGAGTGTTCCCCGCTCTCCACACCCTCACCAGCATTTGTTATTCACAGACTTTTTGATTAGACATGGAACCAATCTAAATGTCCACCAATGAATGACTGGAGGAGAAACTGTGGTATATATACAACATGGAACACTCCTCCGCCATAAAAAAGAACGAAATACTCCCGTTTGCAATAACATAGATGAGCCTGCAGAAACTTACGCTGAGTGAAATAAGCAAAGCACAGAGGGACAAATACCACATGTGCTCGCTCACTCATATGTGGGAGCTAAGAGAGAAAGAAGGGAGGAAAGAAAGACCACAGTGGTGCATTGGTCTTACAGAGGGAGGGAACATTCCTAGGGCTACAAAGTGGAGGAGGGGGGAGGGGGGAAAGGGGGAAGAA